TTAGTTTGTAATTTGACTTGTCCAGCTAAAATACCACCTTTCAATTTGTTTTTTAAATTTAGTTATACAATTAAGTTAGAAAGAATGAAAAATAGAAGATGTTTAATCACAGGACAACATCAATCCATGATAAAATTGCAAAGAATGATAAAACTAGAGGAAAAAACAAGAAAAACCAGGACCTAGGTATAGGACAACAAACGTAATCCCAGTTTCACTCTACATTATCTATGTAGCAGTTCTCTACTAGAATTTGAAAATGGTAGTACTTCTATCCGATTTAACACTTGGTTGCCTTGTAATCATATTCAAACTTCTGGTCGTAGATAATTAATTAGTTTAACCATCCAAATCAAAATAAATTGGGAATTGGGTCAGAGAGGATATATTATTAGAGAAAATCACGGGAAAATAAAACAATGAAGGAGGGAATAATATCTTGCCTATTTTGGCACAATTAGAAAAGAGACTACAAAGTAAATAAAGGAGTAGATTTCTTCCTCAATGCTACCTCAACTTTTCTTGGTCAAAGTATGCACACAAAAAAAAAAGGAGGAGGAAAAATGACCACTGATCGATTGACCCCAAATGATTTTCCTTACAAAATATGAGAAAAATTTGAGAAACTTCCTCTTAGTCGTTTCGCCTGACTAGTAAGTTAAGTAGGAGAGATCATGTAAGAAAAATATTATCAATAAATATTCGGTAATTACGGTGACCAATGTAATTTTAATGTTTCTTGGGGAGCAAGAAACGTCACTCAAGCGTTTGACACCACACTACATTGATAAATAGGTCATGCATATATTTAGGAAATATAACTCCTAGCACGATTAAATAGTGGTTTTGACATAGTAACACTTTGACTTTTTCTTATACAAATAGGCATCTCCACTCAAAACTCCAACTCATTTGTTTGAAAGTTTGAGTGTTTAAAAACTCGTTGCTTCAATTTGGTCATCAATTTTTGTCTTATTTCATATTTCAACCCCAGTGAAAAGTGAATACTTCCTTCCAAATCTATCAGAAAAAAAATCTCTACTCTTTCTGTTTCTTTATTCGTCTCTTTGTGTACTGAATTTGTTCCAATTCCAGGTTTTAAATTAAAATTGGAGAACTATTTTCTACATTCATGGATTATTGTAATTCTCATTTTTGCCGGAGGAATCACATATATAGTTGAATTAGGAGCATTTGGAGGTTGTCCATCTTACACTTTGGACAAAGTTTCTCTACCTAACCACAGTAAGCAAAAGTATAGTGGTGTTGTATTGTAAAAATATTTTATCAATATACATGCTTTTTTAAATAAAAACATTTTCTGTTACAATCGATGTCACTGTCTTCGTGCGTAACCATATACTAACAAACAATTGTTTAGATAAGACATTTAACTACAAACAATTTTTATAAATACAGTTTATATTATATCAAACAGTACGCTAATTGTATGGTCCATGAGTTCTCGTTTACATTGTAATCTAAACGCACTCCACTCATTCCTACTCGCCATCTATAAAGCTTTTTTTTTGTTTTTTGTTTTACACCCGATGTCTCATACTCACATTGGGGTTCCACTAAATCCGAATTCACGCCGGAAAGTCCTACATTGGGAGTAAAGCGCTGCTAACAAATGCGACTCTCTGTCCAAGGCTCGAATCCGAGACTTCTGGTTAAGAATAAAGGGGTACTTACCACTCCGATCTATAAAGCTGTTCAATCATCAGTCTATGATAAAACTAGTAACGGAACCAAGAAAAACCAGCACTTATAGGACAGCAACGTTAATCCCAGTTTCACTCTAATTATGATCTATTTAGCCTTTGAGAACTAAAATTTGAAAATCTGATAGTACTTCTATCCGATTTAACATGACTTGGTTGCCTAGTAATCTTATTAGTAATCTTCAGGTAAAAAAAAAAAAAAAAAAAAAATCAAAAAATCTTATTAGTAATAATTTAACATTACTTGATTGCCTTGTAATCCTAATTGTTAAAAATACTGCTCAAGAGATGATTTAGTTAGTTTAGCCATCCAAAGTCCAAACCAAAAGTAAATTGGCGGGATAGAAAGTATATTTTTACAAAAGTCAAGGGAAAATAAAACAATCAACGAGGAAACTGAATTTCTTGCCTCTTTTGGCTCAATAGGAAAAAAGTCAATACAAAGTAAACAAGTGGATTTCTTGCTTAATGCTACCTCAACTTTTCTTGGTCTAGGTATATATAAGAAGGGGAAAAGTGCCCGATTGATTGACCAAAGTCAATACAAAGTAAACAAAAGATGTTTTCCTAACGATTTTTCTATATGAGAAACTTCCTCTTAGAGCCCAATCGATTGACCAAAGTGCCAAAACTGTTTATTTTAAAAAATACTTTTCAAAAAAGTGTATGAAGAATAGTAGTTTGTGTTTGGCCAATTCATTTTACAATTACTATTTGTAATATTTGATAAGTAAATTGTGTTTGACCAATCTTTCTAAAAAATACTTTTGAGTATCAAATTACTAAAAAAGACAATAAATATCTAATTTAAAATTAATATTATTTGTAAATGAGATTTAAATTTATAATAATATATTAAATTTTTTAATCAATATAAAATATAATTATACAAAGTAATAATATTGCGTATAGCGTTATTTATTTTTTACACGATGATTCAAACATATCAATATACGTTGTTTTGTATAAATAAAAAACTACTCCGTAAATCCTGATATAAAAGAAGAGATCTATTTATAATAGAGAGACTATTTCAAAGAAGAATGAGAGAAGAATAAAAAATGATAATAAAAAAAATTATGAAATGAATGGTAGAAACAAAAAATAAAAAGCAAAAAGTTATTAATAAGGAACAATTTGAAAAATATAAATTTTTTGGTAAGGATATCTTTATCTTGAAAAAATAAATTTTTAATGATGCTATAAAGTCTAAAGTACTTTTATATCTTCCCCAAACACATTAAATTTCATAAAAAGTGCTTTTTAACAAATAAAAAAGTATTCGAGGCCTACTTGATGCTTGGTCAAACAAGACTTTTTAGTTCTTGCTTCAATTTGGTAAATAATGTTATAGCCCGGTGGCCAAGCTGTAAAAATCAATTTATTTTGAGAAGTACTTTTTCTTAAAAGTATTTTTGTTGAGAGTCAATTTGTGTTTGGCTAATCAACTTGAAAAATACTTTTGAACAACATTTAGTGTTTAACCAAGCTTTTAAAAAATGTTTCTAAGTGTATTTTTCTCAAAAGTGATTTTCAAAAAAGTGCTTTTGGAGAGAAGCTACTTTTTTCTGCTTCTCCAAAATTGCTTTTGCTTCTACTCAAAAGCATATTTTTTCTTCTAAAAGTTTGGCCAAACACTATAACTTTGAAAAAAAATAATTTTTTCGAAAAATAAGTGCTTTTGAATTTGGAGAAGCTCAGCCAAATAGGCTATTAGACTTATTTCATTTTTCAACCCAGTGAAAAGTGAAAACTTCCTTCCAAATCTATCAGAAAAATAGTCATCTCTCTACTCTTTCTGTTTCTTTATTCGTTTATTTGTGTAATAATGAATTTGTTCCAACTCCAGCTTAGTAATTACAATTGGAGTACTATTTTGTACATTCAAGGAAACATTGAAATTCTCTTTTTTTGCCAGAGGAGGATGCTTATCTTACACTTGGGATAACTTTCTACAAACCACCGTTAACTTCATATACTCGTCTTCTTTTGTTAAAAATCTTATGGTATAGCGCTAGTGGTACGTTTTATTTTTGTAAGGTATTTTCAATAGAAATTATTTTTCCGCTACAGTCGCTTGTCACTATCTTCGTCCGTAATCACATACAAAAAAAAATGTTTTGGTAAGACATAACATTTTATGTTAAACTCCTGTCAAGCAATTTGAACTCGAGGTTTTTACACAAATAGCCATATGGATTCATTGTTTACTTTTAGATTATGTATTGATTAATATGGCCGGCTATTTGTGTAAAAATTCCTATTATATATCCGCTAACTATTTTTTAATTAAGGGGTTGCTAATCTAGTTAATTTTTCTTAATTATTCAACGGAAAAGGGTCAAATATGCCCTTATACTATTGAAAAAGGTCTAATATTACCCTTCGTTATACTATCAGTTCAAATATACCCCTACCACCATACTATCGATCCAAATATATCCTTAACATTGTAAAAGTGGTACAAACCTACCGTTCCTCCGTTATGAACACATTTTATTGCTACCTCACAATTTCACCCCGTTGCAGCTACCAAGTTCAACGACTTTAAAGTTCTATCATTATTTTGAAGACTTCACTGCTCAACTTCCTCTTGCTTTTCAAAATACATATAGCTTCTCAGGCCGACCCTGGAATTATACGTTCCTTTCACTTGACCTTACAATTTTGTGTTTTATTTTACATTTGGTTGTGTTGCCGCTAAATTTGTAAAACCTATTTAGGAAAAATTTAGTAGCATTTTTATATCAACGTAAAATTTAAAGAGAGAAAAAATGGTAGCCTTCCAGAAATGTGGTTGAAGAGAAAGAAATAAACAAAAATTAACTCTCGTGTCTAGGTTGTTTTTCTTTCTCACCATGGTCAATTTTGAAACCTTAAACTAGTTTACCTGTACCTTTGCTTAGTTTTTTTATATAAAACAAAATGTATTTTCGTTCGTATAAATATGAATTGTGAATAGGAAAATCAGAATTTTCTGAGTTCACATTGTTTCATATTATCTTTAGTTGTTAGCATTTCTTTTGGTATAGTTTATTTATATATTTATGATTTGTGATTTTTCTTCAAATAAAAGGGAAAGAAAAGTTGTGGGGAACGTATGAAAATGGGAGTGGAACGGTGAGGTGGCAATGAAATGTGGTCCTAGGGAGACATTTAATGAAGAAAGGGTAGGTTTGTACCACTTTTATTTGGACTGAGGAGGGCAATGTTAGACCTTTTTATTTGGCCCTTTTCCCATTATTCAATGTTTGCTACTGTTGGGCTCTAACTCCGATCCTTGTACTCCAAAGATGAGCGAGAGAGAAACCCAACAATATCCAATATTCACAAAGCGCTTGTTGAGCGTCCGTTCAATTCGAAATGTTATGCTTTTTCAAAGCCCACCAATTGAAGAGGACGTAGACTCTAGTAGTTGCCTGCATGAACTGTTGGAAACCTTTCAAATGGTGGAGCTGGGTGCTGGACCACTCCATGTGGTGGCCCGCGAATTACAAAATCGCTCCCCTCCCTCATGATCTCATGATCGATTCGCCCTCAAATTTCTCTGAAATTTAAAACAGAAATGTTAAGCATTCAACTACACTACACGAATAATCAAAGGAAAATAGAGAGAAACACAGTGGAAATGAAGGATGACGATGCGTTGCCGGTATCTACGCCGACGGCACATTCATCGGTGATCCCAACATCCACACTTCCGAGAAAGGAAAGTTCTAATTCCCTATTCGGAAGAGGTCGCTACAAGTTTTGGGCCTTGGCAGCGATCCTATTGCTCGCCTTCTGGTCAATGCTTACCGGTACAGTTACTCTGCGGTGGTCTGCCGGCAATCTCAATGGCCTCTCCGACGATTTCGATACTCATCTCCCTGAAGATCTCGATGTTTTCGTACGTAATTCATAAATCATTTAACTTGTACTTAATTTTACATGTTAAGTAGTAATTGTATTTATTGTTTGAGAAAATTACGAAATTAATGTATTTGGCAGGAATTGGAGGAGAGGGAGAAATTGGTGAAGCGACTGTGGGATGTATATACAAATACTCATCGGATAGGATTGACTACGTTTTGGCAGGAGGCCTTTGAGGCTGCCTATGAGGAGTTATCGAGTGATGTTCCTGAAGTTCTAGAAGCTGCTATCTCTGAGATTGCTAAAATGTCAGTTCGTTCCATTGATATCGAGTCACCATCTCTCCAATCATCGGTTAGCTCTCTTCTGAGTAATGGTTTTATTCCGTGTAATCAATGTGAATCTGTGCCTGTCGGATGCTTGACTTAACTTTGATATGTGTGCTGTTTAGTTATCTTCATGGAGATGTTGAAAATCTCATTTCAGGATTCAGCTTGGTGTATTAATCCTGTATGTTATGACTTCTCAGCATTCTAGTCTGTAACTTTCGTGGATATTATTAAATTCAAATGAGAATCAGGGTGTGCAAGAGTTTGTTGACGAGTATACACCACATACAAACAGCTTCCTGACATCATTAAGTGGCATATTGCGGCTGGTACGATTTTGAGTGTGAGGCTGATGGTGTGTTTAGGTATAACGGCAAGTTTCCAGTCTAAGATAGCATTAACTTTGCTACAACAACGTATAGGCACGTTGTTGCACTGTTGCGCTTTCTCTTGAAACAAGGCCATTCTTTGTGGAACTTGATCATTTGTATCAATACCACTGCACCTCAAGAAAATTGTTAATATAATGTTAATTTTGTTCACAAAGTTAGCTTTGTCTGTCTTGAATGCATGCTTGCTATGTTACTTGTCAACCATGTACTTTGGGAGCTTTTCGGATAGAATATATGACTTATGATATGGAAGGTACTCCTCTCACCTAAATTGTATGACCTAGTGGATCTTTTTCTGGAGAGTAAGAGAAGAAAATTATTTGAGTTATTACACTTGAATTGGCTGGAGATATGTTAAAATAAGCGATGGAAGATGTGAAATGGTATAACAGTGTCACATTAAATTAGAAGTAGCAGCACTATCATCAGATATTAGACTATTATGGAAGTAGAGGCGTTTCAATTTAAGGAAACATGTTGAGTCTCTTGGGACCGGCAAACATTAAAATTAGGTCAAACATAGTATGATAGTGGTAATAAAATCTTTCATCAACTAGCAATTCAAATTCAGGTGAGGTGATCGGAAGAAGATCTCACTTTTTTCCTTAGGGTCATTTTATTTGAAAGAAAAGTGTTCTGAAATACCGGTGGATAGCACACTATCACACACAAAACAAATAAATGAGAAGATATAACACAAGGATTTAACAAGGTTGTGTCAAGCTTAGGTCCTCGAGGCAGAAGCAGAGAGAGTTTTACACTATGAAAGAGAAGAAACGATACAGTACATCATAATTACCTTTCAATACCCGTAGTGTTTTCCAAACCTACAGGGTTAATGGGCCTTAGAAATAAACAAAAACATAACAGGGTCCGGATTGAGTTGCGTGATCGCTCTCTAAACGGGCTAGGATCGCGCGCCTCTCTAAAGTCTAAACATTTGCCGCGGTCACGCTTTAATAGGGCTAATATTGCTCAACTCTCTGAAGTTGCTCTGCAGTCAGCCATCGCGTAGTGCCAATAAAATCAATCCTGAGCCTTTTTATTCAGGCTCTGGTTTCAGGATTATCAGCCCTCAACCTCCACTACCAACAAGATTCCCATTCTTTTCCAATTTTGGGTTACACCACGAGCTTTTTGAGGTTGGGTCGCAATTTCGATCCACCAGAACTCAAGACACAGTCAACAAAAGAAAAAGAATATATAAGAAAAATAGTGCATTTTAAAGTCAAAATGTACTATCTTATTGTTCCCTTTCCTTCCATTTCCATTCTATCCTAAAAGTTTTATCTCTTGGTTACTCAATGAGCTCCAATGTACCTACTAGGTTGCAGAATGCAAGCAATGAAACTTTTCCTTGCAAAAGGTGTCCTATCAATCTTATAGGTGCATTGCTGAAACTTTATCCTGATGCAATAGTTTTACATAAGGAAAAGAGTCTATGCTCCTTTTCCGTTGTAATAGCAAATTTGGCTGAACGGATGTTGGTGGTCTAATCTCCAACCCATTCCCAAATTGAAAGCAATGTTGTTAGGAACATAACCATGAATATCTTACCCCAAATTGAGGAAAAGGCATTACCAAGTCTCCTTCTCTCATACGCATTGCACCAGCAGTTTGATGATTGCATTAAAGTAACTAAGAGAGTTCTCCTGCATCTATTATCAAAAAAGGAGTTCTCCTGCATCCTCACTCCTTGTCTTCATTCACCTCAAAATAAGCAATAGCAACAATTATAATGCCTTGATGGCTGCTTCCATAACAATCATCAGAATCAGCATGACCAAATTCAATGACTTCAGCAATTAACTCCCATCCACCAACTATCTAAATATTGTCAAAAATTTAAAGGCATCAACTAAATCAACTGCTTCCGAGCCTCTTATTGCAGCTGTACTTGAGAACTCAGCTCTTTTTTTCTACGTTTCCTCTCTTCTGAACTTCCAACCCCGAAGCTACAGTGATTCTCTCTTCCAACCTCCAGGTGTTGCATCACTGTGCATAACTTGAATCTGAATACATATATCTATGCCTAGTTTTTGCACATTTCATATCCTCTTCCATTCCGTAAGAAGAGGCTACTCATTTTGCTGTTGTACTCCCTCATCACATTTTAGAGTACTGAGTTTGACTAGACTGAGAGATTTAACTTGTTCATGACACTTGTGGAAGAAAACATTAAACTAATAGTTGAAAACTTAACGTAATAGATAAAAATAAATAGTTAAGACGAAATAGATTTTTTGAAATTTTTGAATATTGTATAAGATAATATTATTAGTAGAAGTATGTCCAACATTTTGCAATTTGTTAAAATCATAAACTAGGGCATATTGCCCTTGAATATAAGAAATGTGAAAAATAAGGTAGAAAGAAATCCAGAAATTTGAAATTATATGCGAGAGAGCCGTGTCTCGAAACTCTTGTACATTTATAAAATATAATGTTGTTCATCTGCAAGAATTCTTAATGCAGCTGTTTATTAAATAACACTTGTAAGTAGCTGCACAATTTATGTTTTATCAATTAAGTAGTGGCCTAATAATAATTGACTTACTACCTAATAATCTAGGCAATTTTAGCTGTAGTGTTCAAGTTGGAGCATATAGATCATATGTTCTAAGTTTGTCACATATATACTTCCTCCTTGTTTTCAATTACACAAAGTTTTGGTTTAAATTTGACAAAATGCATGGACGAAACGTAATTAGAACGTCGAAATATCCCAGACTACTCTTGATGCGAATTGCTGGTTGGATAGGTTCATTGATGTGGATTGCTAGCTGGATAGGTTTATGGATTGCTGACGTGCGAGCTAAACGAAAAAGAAGTTGCCCTGAATAGTACCTGATGTGGGGGACAGGACGACAGGTGCACCTCGGAGTTGAGATTTTTTCTGCATGTGTAGACACACTCAAAATATTGTCGTGTTCATCTTGATGAGACAAAACTGTTGGTCTATGACTCTATACAACTGATGCATTAACATCTAGGCAATCAGCATGCGACAATTTGGACATTGAAGAGAAATTCAGCTGAGATTGAAAGCTTAGAAAGTTGAAGAAGTATATCGGAATGAGAGAATACCAAGACCAAAAATAGAAGATTGATAAGCTTCCAACTTAATCAGCAGGAGCAAAACAGCAAAGAGTTTGGAGATAGCCAGAAACAATTAAACGAATAATAATAGATTCAGAATTGGGTGGTGCGGGTAAGACTGAAGACTCTATTAGGTCAGAATAAGTAAGAGAAAATAGAAAGTTCAAGAATATGTGGCATCAACGTCTCCATTCTTAGTGTATTTGTAGATATAATGCTGCCTATTTATATGGTTCTTAATGACACTGATTTTGTAATAAAAGTTGCCTTATTTATCTTTATACAAATTAAGTAGTTCTCTAATCTAATTAATCAGTTACTTTAATTACCTTGCTCTGATAAAGTCGCATCATTATGAAACAAGGAAATTTCTTCAGGACTCACTTATGAAGGGCCTGGGAATATGCATAGGAAATTTCACTCTCTCAAGATTGACGTTATGTGACCCATATGTTGGTATTCGTGAGGTTCTCAATGGGCAAAGTTTGTGTGCTCCAAATTATTCACTTGCCTTGGCAATTTTATTTAATGTTTGGTAACATGAAAATCTTTGATAGTGGAGGGAGAGAGAAGAAAAATATTGGTTGAGGTAGACGTGTCCTAAAGAAGCTTGAGCCCTGTAATGGTGTCATTGCTACTGCTGCCTACCAATGTGCGGAAAGCTGGTGTCAGCATGGAGGTTTTTATTAAGAGTTGGTGTTTTGGAGCAGATGAACTATAGATGAGTGGAAACTTTCCTTTAAATTCGGTTTCCAACATTCTTATTTATCTATTCTTAATAAAAGTGCAGTTTTGTGTTACTTCTTTCCTTTTCTCCAATATAACATGTTCGATTTCCTTCAGTCTGTCAAAGTCCTTTCCTTTTCCTCGTTGTGTCCATGAGATGTGCTATATTTCTTGCTTAAGTTGGCAGTACTTTGGGCATGGTGTTTGTTTTCAAGAACTTAATGGTCAATTTCATAAGAAGTGTTGGAAAGAAAAATCTTTTTGGTGTGAAGTATAGCAGCCAAAATGTAACACATCCAAATATGGGCAGTGCTTTACGCTAGCATAATGCTTTCTATTTACTGTGTGGTAGACTATAGAGTTCCTTCTGCTTGCTGTCTGTTGCTTATTAATATTGACATGAGAACAGCATCCTTAATTTCTGTAAAATTATAGCTCTCTCTCTGATGAACACTTGCGCACACACAGACAGCTCTCTAGCATCGAGCTGTTGGAAAAAATCAACCTTTTGCAGTTTCAGGGTTGGAAAATGTGTGATGCAACAACATTTTTCCCCTTCAATTACAAGTGCATGATGAAAGTTTTGGGGCTTGCAGTTAGCTCCCTCTTGTAAGCTGAAAGTGGATTGGCAAATTACTGACTGAATACTGCCTGTTTGCTACTTTGCTTTTTTATTTTATTTTATTTTTTCTTTTAAGTTTTCGTTTAGATTTAGAAAGTATAAGGTGACCCTTTTTTCATCTTTCTCTCTCCCCAATCCCATCCACCTGCCTTTCCAAGACCAATTGCTTCTTGATATCTTCATCGACTGGAAGTGACTGTGTTTGATCTACTTCATGTTTTATTTCAGGCAACACGAGAATTAAATCTGAGGCAATCAGATGACAAACAAATGACCACAACAGGAAGTAAATTATGACTTGAAGAACATCCAGAAACCAAATTTGCTTAGTGCCACTTTTCGCAGGCTGAATGATAACATATGTCCGCTTGCAGTCTTGTATAGACTAAGAGAGCATTTGAGAAAAGATTACACTCAGGTTCCATACATTTTTGCAACTCGGATAAAACAGGGCGTTTATTTATTTTTTGATTCTTGCACCCTCCCCACCCCTCCATTTAATCAGCCCAGGGATACAGAAATAGCATAAGTAGCTGTTTGCAAAAGAAAATTTCATAAGATTGTTGCACGGTTTCGACATTGAATCTCCTCCTAAACTTTTACTGAGTGATTGTATTTATGGTAATACGAACTTGCAAGGAAATAGAAATTCCATACTGCTTATTATTTACTAGCCTCTGTAGTGTTTTTGTGTTGGACGCCAATAGAACAAACTTGCAGCTGTAATGGTACCCATTGACTGCCATTATACGTAGATGTATATTTGCGGATGGCAATGCAGAAGCTCTTCCTATCTTTTTTTCTTTTAATTTTACCTAAAATATAGTTCAAACTTCTTCCCTTAGTGCTTGGTTTTGAATATCCTTGATCACATGTTGGGTTTAAATTTGTCTAGCATTAACAACTCGTGGCATCCTGAGCAAGGCCAGGCATAGTTAATGCGAAGTGAAGCTTACCTGGACCGGTGTTTATATTAAATCATACTAATTTATCATGATTGAGTCATAAATTAAGGTTAGAATATACTAATTAACTATGGTTTAGTGATTGGGTTATATGTAGTCATATGTCATGTCATCATTGGGTTGGTGCAAACATCCTATCTTCCCAAATATGATACTTCATCCCTTCCCATTTACCTTAGAGACCTGAATCACCTTGGAGATAGTCTACTATCAATAAGTAGTAGGTTAACAGTGGCGGAGTCATCTCCGCGAAGGGGTTCAAGAAAAAAAAAAATCATAACTAGTGGGAATTGACCTATAACCTATCAAAGATTTTGAACCTCCTTGATCACTAAGCTACACTTTTGAACTGTGTTAAGGGTGTTCAAAACTTAATATATAGAGGTAAAAAATAGATTTTGCCTTATATATACAATGTAATTTTTCAGCGAAGGGGGTTTGTGAACCCCTTCCGCCCCTAAATCCACCCCTGTAGGTTAATATCTCCACGACTCTAATAACAATATATGGATGAATCAGGTAACACTAACATTTGTCTGTTGTCACAGCTTCATGCATTTTGCCCTCTACCCTTTTTTCTCCATTTCCGATTTCATCACTAAAAATAGAAAATTTAAAAGTCCCACCACCTGCACGCACTATTGATACTATTTGGAATATACCTTGCCACGAACTGATGCCATTCCATATATAATATCAAATCCATCTTCCTTCATGAGTGTTGGCGATTTTGTTTGGTTTTAAAATAGCATTTCAAAGAGTTCTTTCTTTTAAAAAAATATTCAGTTACTTGAATGGTTTTAGGAAGAAAAAAAATGCAAAAACAACTTGTGCTTCTTCTGTCCTTATTTTTTGAATTAATTCACTCTAAAGTTATCAGAAAAAGCAATTAATCCACACACATGTTTCTAGAAATTCTTTATCAGAACTCCCTTTTTTTCAATACATCGTTAAATTTAAATTGATACTGAAGTTCTGATTATTCGTCCAAAATTTTAGAAACATGTCCTAGAATATTTGAAATACTTGGTTTATATTTGAATTTAAATTATTTTTAGAAGTGAAGGTTGTTGAGAAAATTATGTCAATCTTTACACAAATAGTCAGATGGATTCATTATTTGCTTTTTTTTAGCCGATATACATAGATTATACATTAATTATACATTGATTATATATATTTATACATAAATTATACATATGCTGGCTATATTTAGTTTAAACGGTTGGGTAAATAATTATTTAGATTAATTCTTTAATTGTTTAAGACAAACTAAAAAGATAATGTAGATATTCAGCCGAAAGTATAGCATATGAAAGGTAGGATACAAATACAATCTACTTGTAAAAGAAGAACAAAGATAGAGAGAAATAGGAAGTCACCAAGAATTTAAGTGAGAGCATTAAGGAGGAAAAGTTTGGGTTACTCGGTTTATTTATCTGTATCTATATTATTATAAAAGCATGAATATAATATTTATTTATAAAAATAACCTTATAATATTAAGCATAATAACTCATAATAAAAGGACATAACCGGAATTCTAGATATTAGCCGTACAATCATATTAGTTTTAGGACATAATATTATAGGAATCCTATTAGTATAATTACTTTCCGGCTGTCTAATTCATATAAAATTGAATAACTAAATATCTTTAATCATGTAATCCTATTGCTTTTAGGATATACTTCTTAAAAATTCATATTAATAACTTAATTTGAAAACGTATTATAATGTCCTATTACTAATTTAATTTGATAATGCATTATATTGTCCAAATTCATTTAGAAAAAGGAGATACTATATTATTATACAAGCATAAATACAATATTAATATATCAAAATAACCCTAAAATATTAAACGAAAGAATTTATTGGGAAAAGACATAATTGCAATAACTTATTTTTTGGACTACAATACCTTCTATGCTAATTTTTAATATTTAATATTTTAAAATTAATAAAATTTTATCTATTAAATTCCTATTAAAAATATGTATGAAGATTTAATAAAATTAATTTAATAAGAATCCCCCATATTGGCAATACATTGTCACTCCATAATATCCAATACCAAGAAAAAATAAAAGTAATATTGAATGGACTGCATAAAGAGTTGAAATTGAGGGGAAAAAAAATACCCCAACAAGAATATATTTTTATATTATATTTGAACTATTTTCCTACTCAAATAATATTTTTAATCATTTTTTTGTGTAATATTAAAAAATACACAATTATTAACAACAACTAAGAAAATATTTAAGAATATAAATATGTGAGAAAGAGAAAAAAAAATGGTTATCAAGAATCAATACCACTAATGATTGTACAGACAAAAAAATCTAAAAGTGAAATGTCATATCAATCTTTTACACTTTAAAAATAAAATTTATGGTGGATAAAGTTATAGTTAAGATTAAATATTTAAAACAAGATATGAACTAATATTAAGATCTGAATCAGCATATAATAAATTATTTTTTATGTTAAAATTAAATAATTAAATATTTTAATTAATTATTTAGCGAGAGAATCCAATTCAATTATTTTTTAAATTCATCATATGAGAAAAATTCTTATTCAAGTTTAAAAACAAAATTTAGGGTACACCAATTTATTCCATAAAAAGAGCATTAGAACACAAAGTAAAAATGTTAATATATTATTAAGAATCAAAATCCTATACAAGTGTCTGAGTAAGCACAATCAAAACTAAATCCTAAACAAGAACAATCTTTCAAGACTATATTATAAAGAGCCGACTCTGCGTAAACGGGATTATTCTTTGTAAATGCCTCCGACGAAATCGAAATAATATTTTTATGTCATGCCTTACTTGCAAATATCATATCGAGAGGCATGACACTGTTAGCAATAATAGCAAGTGGTGTACCAACAATGATTTTATTGTGAGACCACCCACTTCAGATTTGATATACCTTTTCAAACAACTTAAATAACCATCACAAATATATCAAAGTAGA